CTTCTCCTGGCCCCCAGCCATTAGCATGTATCTTCAACCACCCCTCCTCTATTACAAAAGACCGACCCAAGTTCATGGCTCTCTTCTATGGAGTCGTGACTCCTACTCTGAACCCTTTCATCTATACCTTAAGGAATAAGGATGTAAAGGGGGCATTAGGCAACCTATCCAGAAACATTTTTAGTTCAAAGTGAAAGCTTATAGACATCTAAATTGTTTCAAATTAGAGGCTTTTTCTATAACTTATTCACTGTACTTTTTTTATGTGTTCTTGCAAAACATGTCTTGTTACTTGTGTTCTTTGCAATCATGCTAGGCAATGCTTAATCTTGGGTAGTATCAACCAATATGGATGGGTGCTTTGATTAGAAAATAGGTTACAATACTTGTATTGAGGTTAACATTGAGGTTCAGAAGTAGTTACTTTATTAAGTGCTAAATCAAACATAATTACATTGTTTCAAGCTAATCATCTTGAAAACCACATAATAACCATTCATCAGTAGCTTTTTATTTTGTCATTTGTAAAATAAATCTTTATTCTGGTTTTCTCAGTTTCTTATGGGAAGGCTTGCTATACAGTGTGAATCAGAAATTGCTCTTAATGAGCTATCATGAAAGTTCATAGACTTTGTTTATTTGGATGCTTACAAAATGCAGTTAACTTTTCTTAAAGATCAATACACATGTTTCTATATGACAAATTGGGGGACTTATCATTAAAAGAATAAGAAAAAAGATGAAAATGCATTAATTTTTAACATTTCTTTTGAATATTGTATTAATTTAATAACAAGAAAGTAATATGTAATGACAGCCTGGAGCCATTTCTGTGCATATACTTGTGGCAAGATGAAATGTCTTTTAAAACCGTGAAAAAGTCAGTAATTTATAATTTGGATTTTGGATTGAAATAGGACTTACTTATTTTATCCACTATTTGAGTTTAATAGATATGTAATTTTCACTTAAGGGTGTTCAAATCTACATGACTAAGAGTTTAAATAGCTAAAACAATTTCCAGGAATAGTACCAAGAATTGAAATTTTATCAAGAAATTAGTTAAACTTCATTATATCAAATTGATGGATTATATAGTTGTGTGATATTGGATTAGTTTGTGGATAATTAAGCACTGTGTATAATAAAGAGCGAACCACTAGAGGAAATGCAAAAAGTGTCACATTGGACCTGGTGCAACAAACTGCTGTGATCATAAACAGTTGGATGCTGGAAACTGAACTTGGGTCTCCTGGAATAGCCACAAGTGATTTTAACTGCTAATTCATCTCTTTAATCTCATTTCTTATGAATTTTATATTAGGTAGCCACACTTCTGTGGTTAAAGGAATGATCAGAAGGAAAAGTAGGCTCAGGATTGGGGACTTATCAGGAAATGGAGATATTTTAGTAAAATGTTGCAAAATTTCAGTCCAATGAAAGAGTAAGCTTGAGACCTATTGTATAGCATGCTTACTATAATTAGTACTAGTGTACTTTATACTTGAAAACCTCTAAGAGAGTAGATCTTAAATGTTCTTGCTGCAATAATTTGTGTGTGATCATGGATATAATGACTGTCAGGAATGAATTATTTTGTGATATATACATTTACAAATATAGTCATTCAAAATTCATATAATTGTGTTGACTATACCATAAGTGTGGGAAAGTTTAAATGAGGAGAGATGGTGCTGTATTACATGTTTCAAATCATAATGTTTGCACAATACATAATGATTCAAAGATACTTACGATGGTTTTAAGTTTAATATTCTTGCCATATTTACCATAAAATACTGATAAAGATCAACAATAAGGAAAGCTGTTTTGGAGCCTACTGTATAATTCTGGTCAAACACTACAAAGAAGAGTCAATTACAAACAGGACAAGGTAGTTTAACAGAAAGTTTTAGTGTAAATGTTATAAATGCAAAATGAGGAACAAATTAAGCAGCAAAGTATTCCTTGTATTCATTGAAAGGAGAATGAAAGCAAAATTTCTAGCTTCTAGGTCATTTCCATTCTAGGATTAGCAGGGCAAATAGGCTTGGAGACAAAGTAGACTGGTTGGAAACAGATTTAATTGTTTTATTAGAAATATAAGCTCAGATGTATGAGAGCTTTCCAAATGAGATACTCATATCTAAAGACCTCAGATTTAACAACTATAAATAAGAGTAAATGGCTGACATTTTCCTTTCTGAGTTTCTGTTACATCACCCAGAACGATCGTTTCCAGCTTCCTCATTTTATCTATGAAATTAAAAAATTATTTTTCTTAACAGCTGAATAA